CCCCAAAACCCCAAAACCCCTTAAATTAGAAGTTAGCATAAAATATGACTTATATAATATAATAAATTGTTAATTTTAATGAATAAATATAATATATCGATAAATGAAATAGACCTCACTTCTGTAAAAGCTCAATTACACTTTTTGTGTATTATTTCGACTCCATGCTCATCGTAGTCTTCTTTGGATATCCACATTGAAGGGAATTTCGAAAGTTAAGTAAGGATTGAACCTCCTCTCCAAACGTCTAATCTTCTGTCTGGGTTGCCAATAACTTTGACTGTAACTGATTTTGGTGCTCTGCTTTCAATTTCTTTGAGGAGTCTTTCTCCAATTCCTTCATACATAGTGGTACCTCCAGATAAAATGATGTTTTGATAGAGTTCTTTTCTGACATCAATATCGCACTCTTAAATTGAACTGTAAGTCAAATCTTGGATTGAGCTAACCTCTCTTCCACTCATTTCTAGTGGCTTGAATAAGCATTCAGGGCATCTGAATCTCTCGTTACCTATGGTAATGACTTTACCATTCGGGAGTTCGTAGTTCTTCTCGAATTGGGTGTTATCATGAGATTGCTTAAGAGCAGACTCGTAATCCAAAGCGACAAAGCATAATTTTTCCTTGATATCATTAACAATTTCTGTACCAAATGGTGATATTAGCATTAAACTTCTTTCAGAAGAGAGGAGCTTAGCCATGAAATAAGAGAGATCTCTACCGGCATGTTGAATTTTTTGGATGGCATGGGGAATGGGATTGCCATCAAGGATGGGGATTGTTTGTGTAACAGAATAACCAGCTTTGCAAATTATTCCAGTGGTTTTACCACTGGAATAGAGAGATAGGACAGCTTGATTAGCAACATAGAGAGCAGGAACATTGAATGTCTCAAACATAATTTGAGTCATTTTCTCTCTGTTAATCTTTGGATTGAGTGGTGACTCAGTCAAGAGTACTGGTTGCTCATCTGGGGAAACTCTAAGTTCAACATAGAAGGTATGGTTCCAGATTTTTTCCATATCATCCCAATCTTTGACGATACCATTTTCGATGGGGTAGCAAATCTTTAAGACCCCTCTCTTTTGATTAGCCTCTTCGCCAATATATTCATTGTCTGAATCAACTCCCATCAAAACACTGGGGTACTTTGGCTTACCTATAATTGCGTGGAAAATAGCTCAAGGAGCGTCTTCTCCTGAGAAACCGGCCTTGATAACTTAGGATCCATTTTCAATAATACAAGTTTGTTGATCATTCATCTCTTTGTATAGGTTTAGCTGAAATATTTGTCAGGTTTAATCTTTATTTATAAAATATATTCATTGTCTATTCTAAAATAAATATCCTCTAGCGGGGTTTTGGGGTTTTGGGG